TGGAGAAATGTTTGGGCTTTTTGGCCATGTTCTACCAGTAGGTCGTGGGTAACCTTTCGGTAGGTTTTTTCCAGTAGGCTTTCCTACTAGTATGTTTTGGCCGGGCAGAGATAGAAGTTCTCTAGTGGGATTTTCTACTGGTAGGTCTTAAGTATCGTATCGGTAGGTTTTGCATGGATTCTACCGATAGGTATGGCATTGATTATACCGGTAGGTTTTGCCTTTTCATGAGATCTCCTTGGTTCCTTGAGCTCCTGAGCCATCCATCAAAAGGTCCCTTCTCCCATATTGACCTTGAGCAGTTGATGGCCATCCGTCAAGAGGATGCCCTAAATGTATGTGTCACTGATGTAAGAGCTAAAGGGTTGGAACACCATTTGTCTGGAAAGTTTGAAAAGTGGATTGAAGAGAAGCTTTATTGTTTAGGAGATAAAGAGCACCATGTGTTCTACCACTGCCAATCGTTTTTCCCGATTCCAATTCCAAAAAGATACAATGAGTAGAAAAAAACGCCACTAAACAATTCAAGGATTTAGTAATACTACTAACAGACAATAAATTGTGGAGAAATTAGGAACATGGAGGAAAGAAGAGAGAGATAGAGTGGGTGATCAATTAATTGAACCTTTCCCAAAAATTAAGGATAAAAATTCATCTGTCACCTTGACTTTATCCTTACCTGAACATGTAATGTGTGGAGAGAAAAGACTAGAGGAACCTGTCATGTGGTCCGTGGCTCTAGAATCTATTATCCAAGGAGCATATGAGGATGATGATGTAGTAAACACACTAGATGTACCTGTATGAGCAAAGTTGGAAGAAGGAGTATGGTGAGGGGATGTGGAAGAAGAAACATCAAGTTGAGTCATCAAACGCCTAAAGGTCTACATCTCATATTGAGAGAAATTAGAGGCAGTAGAATGAGATGGAGACTCTGAAGGTTCAGTCACGTGTGCATGGGATCAACCACCCCCTTGGCCACGTGTAGGACGTCTAGTCAGCTTCCAACAAAACTGTCTAGTATGTCAAGTCTTCCCACAATAGTCACACTTTAAGGTATCCTTAAGAACAGTGTCACTCATCTCAGCAGGCTTGGGTAAGACTAAATGCATGCCATGCTGAGGGATAACAGCCAATGCAGACTGTTCATGAGTAGGAGCATGAAGAATAGCAATCCTCCAGCTCTCCTCCTGTTGAACATGAGCATAGGACTCTCGTAAACTAGAAAATGGACTACGATCTAAAATGTAAACCCAAATCTAATCATACTCAACTTTAAGGCCAGCAAGAAAGTCATACTCTCGTTCCTTGTCCACCATCTGTTGAAATTTAACAGCATTATTAGTACACTCTGCTTGAAAACTATGATAGTAATCGAGCTCCTACCATAAAGTAGTCAACAATGCATAGTACATTGCAAGTGTCTAATCCTTTTGGTTAGTTTTTTGAACTTTCTTGCGAAGAACAATGCCTTGGCATCGTTGTTCCTTTGAGAATATGTGTGGGCAATAGCAATCCAAATTTTATGGGATGTATCAAGTAACAAAAAAACACGACTAATAGAGGGTTACATGGAATTAAGCAACCAAGACATAATAAGGGCATTTTCAGACGTCCGCTACTTCAAGGTAGGACCAGACTCATTGGGCTTCTTAGACTCTCCAGTCAAATAACCATTCAAGGAGATTACTTGGACAGAAAACAAACAAGCCCGAGACCATGCCAAATAATTACTCCCATCTAATTTTCTTTGGGCTAATTTGGAGAGATTGGTTATTTGCTAGAGCACCCAAACGACGCACCCCACTCCCTGTGGTACTTAGCCTAACATTATTAGACATCTAACTACCTTCAGACATGCCTACGCAATAGGAGAAACCAAAAAAGCAAAATTGAGACCCAAAATTGCACAAACAGTGACCAAAACAGCACCTGTAGAGCCTCAACACAAGAACAAGTAGCACCTCAACAGGAGCTAGTAGTAGCACCTCAATAGGAGCCAACCAGTAGCAGCAGCACCTCAACAGGAGCCAACCAGTAGAAGTAGGGTCTCACGCATAACCAGAGGGTCTGGAACTATAGCCGAAATAGTAACTGAAGCTGAAAAGTTGCCAAAAAACCTCTCAAATCTGATCTAATCCCAATACTTCCTAATGGGTATTCAAGGTCTATACTTTTCACACCCACCCAAGACAAAACAGACCAGATGCAAAAAAGAAGTCCCAATAGTGGAAAAACGCAAGAATAGGCAGCCAACGGTTCAGTTTTAGCTAATAAACTTTAGAAATCCATCCAAATGCAACAAAACTGGATGGGTAGTCCAGATCACTCCCAGTCGAACCTCACCAAGAAGAATCAATCGAAAAACAAACAACAAATTGGGCTGAAATTGGAAATATCGCCCTCGACAACTTTAAACCAGGAAAAACTTCAAAAATTGAAAAAACCAGCCAAACAACTTCAAAANCAATAATTGTTCATCATCTTCAGTCATCAATCCTTCGCAGGTACTTGTAGAAGCCCCCTCCACCATGAGCTCAAATTCATGAACAAGCTTGATCGTTTGATATCAATAGAGAAGTTAAGCTAGAAGTTGGAGATTTTCATGGGGATAATAATTTTGAAATATTCCTTGATTGGTTGCATAGCGTTAAAGGTTCTTCAGATGACATCGTTTGATCGATGACAGGAAGGTATTCTTTGCAGAATCAAAATTGATGGATATGGCAAGAGTTTGGTGGATAAAGTACCAACATACTCACTTTGATAGATCATGAGATGATATAAAAACTACTATGACTCGTTAGTTTGTGCTTGCTAATTATAAGTAACGAGCTCATCTATGTTCACATAGTTAAATCAGGAAAACATGTCTGTTGAGGATTACACATGAAAGTTCTATAGCATGGCAACCTGAGCCGAGTTCTCATGGATTGAGGATGTAATGATCGCTGTGTATAGGCAAGAGCTCAATTTAGGGTTAACTGCAAGTCATATTTACACTATGATGGATGCAGTTTAGGTTGCCTATTAAATGAAAGACGATCTGAAATAAAGGGCTTATCTGAGGTCTTTTAGGGTGTCTACAACTCAAAAGTGGCAGGAATTTTGTGGATACAAATCTAGGTAAGTCATGTGGTGGTAAACCACAAGGTAGTGCTTTTGTACCCAATAAACCAATTCGCCCTGATGTTACTTCTAATTTTTAAGAGGGGTACTAACCCTAATGTTAAGACGAGATGTTTTAATTGTCAAAGGTTTGGTCATTTATCTTTCCAATGCCCTACAAACTTTGTTGCCACAATTGGAAAGGAAATTCCCAAGGACTCTAAAGAATCTAATAAGTGAGAGTCCGAGATTCAAGTTGTGGAGCTTCTTGATGTTTAATGAGGTTGATTTTGATGATTTGATGTTAGAAGTAAGGTTACCACTGAGAAGCCTATTCGTTGACACTTAGGCGAAAGACTAAGAGTCTTTGGTCCAAAGAGAAAATGTATTTGGTAGATTTGTTAGGATTNTATTCGTTGACACTTAGGCGAAAGACTAAGAGTCTTTGGTCCAAAGAGAAAATGTATTTGGTAGATTTGTTAGGATTTTTATTTGTTATTTTTATTATTTATTATTTATTATTTTAATTTTTAGTTAGACAATATTTATCAGACTGAGATTAGTAGGGATAAGTTGATAAAGTTTTAGTAGTAGAGTAGTTCATTTATGATAGGACACTTGGTCTAAGGATGTACTCTACATTATTTTGATCAGAGTATGAATATGAGTTTGATAATTTTCTGAAGAGATTTGTGTTTCTTAACCTAATTCTTGTGAGGCTTAGTTATGCCCTTTCTTTCCTTCTCTCTCTGCATCAAATACAAATGTTATCTGTGGAAAAACCCAAAGCAAAACGAGGCTCGAATAGCCTCTGCACAATGACCAGAGGCAAAGAGGTCACAGATCTGGCAGTGAATAGTATTGCCAAGATACTATTTGAGAAAAAGATCCTCAAAAAACCAATCCGAGACCAACAAAAGCCTATGGGCTCTCCACAATTGCCCTAGTAGACCCTATTCGAGCTGATCTAACCCAAAAAAACAACACTAAAATGGCAAAGAACAGACAGAATTGAAAATTTCAAAAAAATCATTCAAAAATTTGAAAAACCAGACAAATGGTTTCAAAAAAACTCAGAAAAAGTACTATAATATTCTAGAGGAGATTTCGATCCAACCCTGTGAAAACCAGAAATTTCTGACAAGTTTAGGTGTTGATGTCAAACATGTTAGAAGCTGATACCAGAATGCCAGTGTCTGACAAGATACACTGCTGGCTATCGAGGTGATTTCTGATCAATTCCGACAACCTTGAGAAGTTAGATTTGATCGATGCTCTAATACCAAGTTTGATTATGAATCTGTTAGGGTTTATAGAAAAGATGAAGAAAGAAGAAGGATATGAGACGACAGTAGTGTGTCTGGTTTACACAACTACGTCCCAATATATATATAACCACAATTTACCAAAATTACCTTTAGGGTTACACATCCTAATATAACATAATATGATCATATCCTACTTTAGGATTTACAAAACAAAGTAAAACAGATTGACATTCAATAAAATTACTCGTAAATCTTTAGAGTGCATATAAAATTCCAATAAGTGCAAATTCTATCTCCTTGTGCAGTGGCACGCGATCGAATGCATATTGTTGTATGTAACACATGTAGATCAAGAGAATGAGTTCTAGGAAGAAATATTTTTAAAGATATTAGCATCTGCAAAACTGCATGAACAGTTTCATGCGTTTTGGGATTTGGTTAGCCCAAACTGCATGAGTGACTGGATTCTAACAAGTAACAATAGTCGAAGGGTCCACGCAAATGCACCAGCACATTTCAATATTTGCGTATAATATCTTGGCGTAACATAATCATTTTCTTACACTGTTGTTTATGGTTATTTAGGATGTTCACAATGAACTTATACAATACCGGCGAGCGCAGATGATCAAACGAGGGATCATTGGTGGAGAATTAAGTGTTGACTCATACGTCAAAAAAGAAAATGGCTCATGCCCGCTCATGCCCGAAGAGGTAATTCAGTCATACTGTTGCATTCCCTTCAATATTTAGACCAGCATCCAAATACTTTATCTACGACTTGAGGAAGTTATGATTATGGTTCATTTCTTTCCTTGATAAATTTCATTTGCTTTTATAGTTATCAAGTTTGCTCCTACACATGGGCTTTGTAATGTCGAGTGTTCTCCACAGCGCTTGTGAAAAAAAATAAAATTTGTTGCTCATTTCCTCAACTTTTTCTTACAAGGCTTAGAAAGGCTACTTCTTCTGTTTACTTAGAATTCTTGGAAGGTTATCTACTTCAAATTTTCATGCAACTGAGAATCTTGTTTTCATTTCAATGGTATTAGTAGTTTTTGTCTCGGGGGTTATTACCTGTTGAGGCAAATACAAGAATCTTCTGTCATGTACTAATGCTAACTCAATCTATGGCATCTAGGTCAATTAAAATGGCTTGTGCAAACTCTTTTTTTTGGAATAAATTGTTCACGTGGGTTCTGATTATAGCAAGCATTTGCCAGAATCATAGTTAAAGGGGAGGTTGAAAAAAAATAACACCACAAAATAATGAGCGGAAGAGACTGAGGGAACTGAAACAAAAGGCTGGTGAATCTATTATCTAGGTTAATCTCTGGATTTTTTTTTTTTTGGATTAAAATTTCAGTGCAGAGATTGTAGCTAAGAGCTGATATTTTGCATTCATTTGCATTCTCCATCTAAGGAACACGGCTTATTCTTTTGCCATACACTATGTAGGTAGGACTTCTCCTTCGAGCCATGGGCTATCCTCCTAAAACGAGAATATACTTGGCAGGTTCTGAAACCTTTGGTGGTCAACGGGTTCTGATCCCGTTACGTGCCATGTACACCAACTTGGTCGATAGAACTTCTTTGTGCAGCAAGCAAGAGCTGACCAATTTAATGGGCCCCGAAACACCACTTCCTATGGATCTTTTCCAGCCTCCACCTGCCAAAAGTGTGGATCAACTCAAAGAAGAATGGGACAAGGCTGGTCCTCGTCCCCGGCCTCTCCCTCCACCTCCTGATCGACCTATTTATAGGCATGAAAAGGAAGGATGGTATGGCTGGGTTGCTGAAAAAGATTTGGAACCAGACCCTTCACCTATTGATATTAGAGAGGAAGCACATCGGTTGCTGTGGGCTGCTCTTGATTATATTGTTTCGGTTGAAGCAGATGCATTCTTTCCTGGTTTTGACAATGATGGTAGTGGATGGCCAGATTTTTCGAGCATGGTCATGGGACACAGGCTTTACGATATGGCGTCTGCCAGAACGTACCGACCAGACAGGTAACTAGGGTTCCAAAATTATATTTCCTGGTTATATTTCTCTTCCTTATCGACTGTAATAAGTTAAGGATGGAAGAGTACAAAAGAAAATATTGAGGGAATGTAATTGTGGATGTGTGATGCTTTTCTTGGACAACAGTATGCACGTTTTTTTCTTCTTCTTGTTTCAATGCTTCAAAATTTTTTATTTCATTTTCTTACTATGTGGTCTCCTAGCAGGAAATATCTTGCTGAGCTTTTCAATAGTACCAGTAATCATCTTTATTTCCCACCTCGCAATTGGACTATCTCAGTGCGAGAGCATCTTAACAAAAGCCTGGCAGAGGAGGGCCTTGCACGACAATTTCATGTATCAAAACCATGGTCATTTCTGTCTCACCCAATTCCAGAATGCTCATGTATAACTGGCAAGGCCACTGCAATCCTGGATTCTGAAAAGGGTGGCAATCACCGAGTACATGAAGGGGATGATGAGTGCCCCAAGTGGATGGAGCAAAGTCTCAAGAGAGTTACAATTCAAGATAGCAGTGCTAATGAGATTGAATCACAAGAAGATGAGACAGATTTAGACGGGCAGAAGGAATCAAATGAAGGTAGTAAAACTGTTGCAATTCCATCCTTGGAAGAGGATGAGGAAATGGATCCCGACGATTAAAGATAGTTGACAGATACCACCCGATTGTTTCTTGTTCAGTTACTTGAGTTCATACACCAGAAGATTTCCATTCTTTTCCGGCATGCTCTTCACAGCTTGATTTGTTGAGGCAGCGACGAAGAAGTAGAAGACAAATTCTTTTTTTGTTTTCCCGGGTACATTCAAATTATTTAGGTTCAGTTTAGGGGGGAAATTCATCAATCTCTTGCTGACATTGCGACCTGCCTCTTGCCGTCATTGCTCAGCATTTGGATTGAGTGGCTGCTCCTATTGGAGAAATGCATCTCCTTCACTCTCCTCCTTTAGTTCCCCAAAAGTTCCCCTTTTCTTTTTCTTTCTTACACACGACACGAGGGATACATAAACTGTATCAGTTTCGGGGTTTTTTGAACTGGCAAAAGTAGTACTTTTTTATGTTTTGATACACCTTGATTGCAGTGCTTACCATAATATGATACTTGAATTTTATTCAAGTTGTATAGTACGTTTTCGCAAAAGTCCATTGTAGATAAGTCCATTTCAGAAGCTTGGATAAAAAGTATTCTTCTATATGAACATGTTATCTACTATTGTGAACTAATTTGTTTACCCAACTGTCCCTTGTTTACAAAGTTGTCTGATAGATCCGATCCCTCCCCTCGTCGACCCTTCTCCTTGTGTTGTTCGATAAAATTTAAAGTTAAACATTGAAAATTGAATTCTGAATTTTAAATGTTAAATGTTGAATTTTTTAATTTGAAACATATTTGGTATTTACCAAAATTTAAGCACAGNTGAAAATTGAATTCTGAATTTTAAATGTTAAATGTTGAATTTTTTAATTTGAAACTTATTTGGTATTTACCAAAATTTAAGCACAAAATTAAATTAAACTGTTTGATTAGTACAATGTGTTGAAGTCTGAATGTTATTAGTATTCTAATTTGGTAAATATATCATAATTGACAGCTCGTTCTATTAAATTCCGTATTTAACAAATAAAATAATGAAATTGATTCAAATTTTATTGGTAACTTTAAAACTATCAATTGTGTTGAATTATGATAAATGACACAAATTTTCCCTCTTGTATTGGATCTANATATTTGGTATTTACCAAAATTTAAGCACAGAATTAAATTAAACTGTTTGATTAGTACAATGTGTTGAAGTCTGAATGTTGTTAGTATTCTAATTTGGTAAATATATCATAATTGACGGCTCGTTCTATTAAATTCCGTATTTAACAAATAAAATAATGAAATTGATTCAAATTTTATTGGTAACTTTAAAACTATCAATTGTGTTGAATTATGATAAATGACACAAATTTTCCCTCTTGTATTGGATCTAGTAAATGTTTTTGAAGAAAAATAGCAAATGATGACAACTACACAAAAATATTAAAACCCTTCACAACTGAGCGCATTCACCATTAGTAGACTGCTCTTGACTAAAAGTTTTCAGCATACTTGGATACAATTTATTTTATTAAGCAGTTTTGATTATCGACTCTGAATTACTATTTAAAAGCGGTTCAGTCAGGCGGATTAACTCGGTGAATCAGATTTTAAACTGTGTGAGTACTTTAAAATACTATAAAAACTCTGGCTTTGTTTGGCTTGGTTTTAGAAAACAAGTTTTTGTTTTCAAATTTTGATTTGGGTGTTTAATTCTATATTTTTCAGGAAAACAGAGATACAACGAACAAAAAATAGAAAACAAACTTCAAATAATTTAAGGTGCAATATTGGAGAGTGAATTGTTAAGAGGCAATGTGAAATGAGGAGCATAGTTAAAATGTCTAATTTGTTTTTTGGGTTTTTTTTTTATTTTTTTACTTTATTTGTTGTGGGGGGGGGGGGGGGGGGTCTCTTATACCCATCTAGAGGTGGATAAGAGACAG